TGTATTAAAGATAATTACGTCTAACGAGCATGAATTATCGGACATTAGCGTACGTGGATATTTAGTGACGATTTTCATGCGTTCCATTTTTCGTCATGTTGTTGTTATTGTTGTCGTTCTGGTTTTTCCACTCTTTTCATTGTTTCAACTGTTTTCGCCGCCATTGGCTTTAAAATGTTTATAATTTCATAAATTCTATTTTCCAACTATTCGTAATTGTCCTCCAAACAAATTGTCCTCAAATGTAGGGCTAATGAAACATTAAGCGCTGAACATTACACACATTAAACATTAAAATATTCAAACATTCAACGCGCACCATTAACATTTAGAACATTCGTGTCTGATAATGGTATTTTCTTGTTGTCTTTTTACTGAAATTTTTTTAACAAAATATTTAGATACAAACAATATAAAAAAACTTTGTATTATGTTTATTTTTTCTTATTCTTTTTTAAAATAACAAGATACACATTAATGTGCTTTAATACACCTTATTACAAATTACTTTTTAACCGAGTACACACTCGTTAAAAAAAGCAGCTACAAAATAAGGAAAAAATAAAATTAAAGTCTAAAATAATGCAATAATGCAAGAAGAAAAACGAGCAAAGTGTACGGGTGTGCACACGCTAACAACAACCATCGCGGCAAGTATGCAAGCATCCGAGCACAAATGAAAGAAGTCGACAAGCAGCAAAAGCAAGAGGAGTGCAAGTCGAGGCGAGCGCTGAATTGCTAATTTATAATATTTGATATGTATCTGCGGCGAAATTATGATTGTAATTTTCAGCTGTGGTGTTGAACTCCAACTCCAACCAACTCCGCCAACTTCCACTCGACCACCATAACCTACCATCATACATAGTACTTACCTACATACCCGATGGTCGTTCATGTGCACCAAACACTTTTTCTACTCTTTCTAAAGTTTTAAACTTAAACTTAACTTAAAGTCAAATTCAGGTTGAAAAAAACAACTCAAGCTAGTTTAATTCGAAACCGCAAACAATGCCACCACAATGTTACAGCATACAATGGCTTTAAATTATAGCAATGTAATTAATTTGATTTTTTTATTCGTTAACGCATTTTCCGTTGGATGCGAATAGTTTTTTGCGTTCCAGCGCGCTCCCTCATAATTACACCAATTTTTTAACGTTTGCAGTTATTCATTAATTCATTAATTGCGTGCTTGGGTGCTAATTTCGCTGCAAGACGCAAAATTACACAGAACAAGATATATAAGATCTTTGCATTGTATGTGTGACTGCCAGGAGTGAGTTTAAGTGCATATCAAACATGAGTTGAATTTAAGTCGAGTAAGTCGAGCTGAAAGCTCTCGCAGAAAAAAAATTACACAAAGTTTTGACTCGGCGAGCGTGCGCGCTTGACTTTTAGAGGTTAAGGACCCCGAAACGACAAGGTAAACGAGATTGGGGCAGGCCCCACGACAAACGACGCAAAAAGAATACTTACACATGCTTATATTTATATTGCATAAACAGTGTGCAACGTGTTAATGCTGTATGCGTTTTGTTAGCTGTGTGTGTGCTATTGAATTGTAAGTCAAGCTACGCGAAATAAAAAGCGGTTAAAATGCGCACGCCGCGCCGAACGCTCGGCTCGACGCGAATTAAAAGCTGAAATGTGTTCGTTGCACTCGGAGGCAGGCGGTATGCGAAATATCGAACAATTACCAAGAGTCGATCGACGGGCAGACGACGCACCGAAACGCAGCTCGCAAAAAAACAGAAAGAAAGATGGCCGGCGCGGATGGAGAAAAAGACGCGCGGCGGGACGTGAAAATTCCGAGCGGAGCAATTACGGACACACAATGAGAGCTAACATTCGGTGTCAAAGTACCCGTACTGCGAACGAAATGCTAAAAATATCTAGGTTTAATCTCAAAATATTTAAATTTGACTCAAAATCGTGATTGGTCAAAATAGGAAACAAACGCAAACCTCCGTGAGTAGCAATATCGACGTGGTGACTCTTGTTGATTCTTTTCGTCCCCGTCCATTGTGTGCGGTGCTGCGCGGTGTAATTTCGTGTGTTTTATGTGCGTGGCGTTGAGTTTTTTGTTAATTTAGTTGCTCCGTCGAGTTTGGTGTGCGGCTCAACGCCGGCGCGGTTGGCGTAGGTTCGGGCCGCGTCTGAGGCCTTGGCCAGGGCTATTGACCGTTGCCAAACACGCCGGCCCTCTCCGAAAAACAACACAAAAAGGAAGCGCGAGCCCCGCAGCTTTGGCTTCGGCGCTCCGACGAGCACGACGAACCTCGCGCTCGCCGCGCGATGCGATGCACATTCGATGCATTCGTGCGTGTGCGAGCGCGCTTTTTCGTAGGCAATGCACTCGTTCAAGGCCGTGCCGGCGCGAGTGCGCGAGCCGGCCGGCGACGAACATTCGGCTGGTGCCTTTTTACTGATCACCGAATGCGTCGGGCGCAACATGATTCGCATTGAGTTTGGTAAGTTACATTCGACTCGCGGTCGCATTCCCAACTGCCTGCAGAGACGTGGAACGACGTGGAGACGGAGGAGGGAAAATGGATGGGAAAAAAGTCGAGTTCAATTACATCGCATCCGTAGGACAACGAAAAACATAACCTTCAAAACTCACAAAATCTAACCTAAAATTACATGATGGAAAATTTCAATAAAAATGAATTTGTAGCATAATTTACAACAGTTTGTCAACGTCCACAGTTGAAATCTAGACAGTGAAGAAATACGAAACGACGAAACGCGAGACAAAAAGTTGTCTCAACGCCAGTGGTCAAACTCAAACTCGAAACTTGAAAGAGAGTCATGACCGCTGCGATTTGCAGGTTTTTGTCCGAAGAGCGGCTCGCAGGAAAGCAGAGCGTCCGGCGATCTCGGCAGAACGGATGGACGGATCGCATTATACACGCGGATTACGTCGGTACGTGTGTGCACTTCGGCGCACGACGAAACAATTGAACCGCGACGGCGAGGACCTTTTGTGACTGGAATCTTAACTCTCAATTCTCAATTGTCATTTTTTTCCCTCTTCTTGCATTTAACTTCAAGCGCGTCTTAAGTCTTGCAGTGATTACAAGATGAATGCATAACCTTAGACACTTCTAAATTTTTTTCTAAATCTTTTTCCTAGTCGTGTTAATTGCGTGCATAATGTTTTCAGCGTGAGAATCCAATCGAAATGACGCCAAACCACTCAAGTGAGATTTGCTAGACATATATATGCCGGTAAGCCCTCTGATGTTTTGCGAGGATCTCAGCATGCGAAGTGAAGTCGGTGTTACGACCTCACCAAATGCGAAACGGGAAAAGGGTAAGAGTAGATGTAAAGCAACAAGTGTTCGACATTCACGAAGCACCCACAAACACCGCTCCAGTTAAAATCACAACCAGCATTTCCAACATTTATAAACATTCGTTTTACACCCACATCAAGAAGAAATCCGTTCATGTAATACTTGTAAAGAATGGTTTTGTATGACATCATAATTTATGAACGACGATAATTAACACTTTGGAAACTTTAAACTATTTCCTAACGCGTGGCGTACAGTGGGTCACTTTGGGACTCTGGGACTCTGAGAACCCTGTCTGCTTGAAGAGATAATTTGCAACTTTACCACTCTGACCGACTCACGTGTTTGATAAAGATAATTCGAATAATATCACGTGTAAAATTTCGTTTTAATTATGTAACCCACAACTAAAACGGTTTATCCTATAAATTTACGCTGTCTAATAATAGGAAGCGGTGACCAAATCGTAAAATTCACATCGGAATGCACATACCGGCGCATATATTATTAGCAACTGGTGGGCCGGTCGCCGGCATTAATGGATTTTATTTATTAACGCTTATTATAATGTGACGTGCGCACCGAGCGAGTGCGGATGTGTTTCGATATTATTCGCCGAACGCAAAAGATCTGAAAATGGTCCGAGCGAATGCAATATGCAAAGCGATGCTAAGAAGTTGTTTAATCGTATCATGGCGACACATAACTGATACAAATACTTCAAGCATCTACAAGGAATTCTCTTCGAGATAATCCAGATTTCAGAGCACATGTAGATGCGTTTAGAGTTAAGTCGAATTGATTTTCGAGAATTTCGTTGATAAAACGCATCAGTTAATGATACTTTTAGGTTAAGTCTGGTTATGTGATGTTTAAAACTCAGCTAAGCTAAGAAATGTGTATCCATAAAGTGTGGAATGGTCGTTGAGTTATGAAATGCTCGGAATTGCTCGGCCCGCGGTACGACGAGCAGGTGGCCACTGGCGTACGTGTCTTCTTTGTCCTCCGAGGCGAAGAAACGTGTGTGCAGGAAGCGCCCAATGGCCGCACCGGACCGCGGGAACCCAACGCGACGAAACGGCGAAATGATTATTTTATATATCGAATAGTTAGTAGCGCAATTGTAATGATATGCAAATTAAATATGCACGCTACACACGATGAAGACTAGCGTCGTTGTTGTGGATTCTCAGCCGAGACCTGTGACTATGCCGATCGGTTTTTTTGTCGTCCTGCGGTTGGCAAATTCGCGCCGTTCATAATTTATCATTCTTTTACTCGCATCCTTCTTGTACACCTGTGCGTCACTGCATTAGAATACGCAGGAATCTTCTTTGGCGACCTGCGCGATTTTCTAATGCGTTCGCGAATCCACTATTTATTTACGAGTTTATGAATGTTTGAATGCGCGCGGAATGCCCGAGTGTTATTATGTTTCGAGCTAGCGCGCGCACGATAAAACAATCATAAATTTTCATTACGCTCATTATGCCTGCGTCTCCGTGCATGTGCCTCGTGCAGATATTCCCAGCAATCGTTAAATTCGATATTAAATATTGTAATTATCGACGAACGACACACGACACAGCTACCGGTCGCCGATTGCCAACATAATATTTAGAAGAACAATTACGCTTAAACTAAGACGTCAAGTTTGAATATACTTAGAACAAAAGAGTAACTAGGTATCAGTTGACCTTTGTGTTGTGATTGAGACATTTATTTATAGCTTTGTCTGGATTCTAGGAAGTCTAGTCACTTTAGTATTCCAGACGCACGATACGCTTTTCCTTTCTACTTTTACATTTCACATTCAACACTCAGCTCAGTGTAAGTATTAGACTTACATGAGTCTTGAACATAATATTTTTGTTTATAATTTTATCCCAATCAAAGTTTAAATTGTGGTTATGTTGTTAGTAGTCTGTTGTAGTATTGGTGGCGCCACCTCATTAAAATCCGCCGAGTGCTTTCTTATCACTAAAGAAAAATGTTTGATAGCCTTAGTCAAAGTCATAAACATTTAATATACAGCTCTCCAGGCTTCAGTCTTTTCGTTTTTATAATTCACCAAGGTGCATGTTTGTTCTTCTCTTACACTCCTGTTTTCTTCATCTTCTTCACAGTCTCTTGGAATGGTAACACCACTGCTTGCATGCGTGTATGGAAGCAATTTGTTTCAAATTTGAAATAGTAAATCTTGCAATTGCTTACAACTCGTGTCCTCGTATGTTGGCTCACTTGCTGGTAGTGAGTACTATAGTTATTGCAGTAGTGCACCTAGGCAGCAGGTAACCTAGGAGTGTGTTGCTGGCTGAGCACGACTAAAGTCGTAACAGCGATGCGCACACACGACCGATGCCAACGCGGTGAGCTCGCAGATTTTATTGCTCACCTCAAGACATTTGACAGCTCATAAACGATCGTAACGAGTCGAATAAAAACAATTATTAACAAACGACTACATTATGCACGCTCGTCACTTTATTGCATGCCCAATCGGCACAAAGCATAGAATTAGAAAATAGAGATATAACTCGCTGGACTAAACACACTGTATGTAGAAATAATTCGTGTGATCAGCGTGATTGGTGCAATTTAAAGAATTTCATAGTTAAGAAGACATGAGAAGACTTCGACTGCAGTAGAGTTAAGCCTTCGAATGACACGACATGACATGACAACAAAACTAAAGTGCACCGCACGAAGCGAACAACTGCAAAAGAAGTGCATGAAAACTCAAGAAAACAAAAGTGAAGCTACAACGCAACAAAACCGAATAATATCGAAATAAAACAAAAACACGATACAAAAGAGTATCACAGGTCGCAGCTAGATTTTTACTCTCTCGTCTCTATCAGATCGATCAAAACAAAAGCTGCACGCTGTGTGTATGTATAAGAATAAGAATAAGAACACACGGATAGTGGACGTTGGTCTTGAGACTGCAATTCGTTGCAATTCGTGTTACAGTTATTCCGGCGTGTGACGGTCTGAGTATGACCATCTCACTTGACCGTAGAGATGCAATGCGATGCGATCCGATGCGATGGAGCGCAAAAGGCAAAAAGATTAAATATAGAACTGTGAGAGCGTATCATCCATTACGTTGGCTGTGTCTCAATGTTCTCGTCTGCTTGCGTGTTCATTTGTTCTACTGATGGTTGGTTGATAGAGAACAATTTACAATAGATATTGATTTGAGGTTTTATGATTTAAGTTAAACATGTTGCGTGATTTATTTTTGGGATTTATTTTGGTTTTGGTTTGATTTTGATTGTGATTGCGGTCGAGCTTGATCCAGAATGTTTGCTGGAAGTGCGGGCTAAAACTGTTCGGAAGGTTAGAAGTTGGAAGGTTGAAACTGCTGCAAGTGTTGGAAGGTTTATTTGTGTCCTTCTCGGCTGGCCGCCAACTTGTGCCAATGTCAGCTTGTGTTTGTACACACTGTACACGCAGCCACACACTCGTTGCAGGGCGTTGTGTGCTGCTTTTATTTGTGTTTGTCGGTTTAAATTTACGTTCAACTTGAACTTGATTTTGTCGTGAACATTTCCCACTTGGAAAACTGACTTTTTATAGATTTTATTATGATTTATCAATTGTAGATTATAACAGTTCATATCTAACCTAAAATATCTAAGTTTAGGTTATGTTATATTGGTTAAAGTTCGTTATTTGACCGAACATGTTTGGTTAGTTCTTAGAAGTTTTATAGCAACGAAAATAAACGTATTATGCGTGCATAAACATAGCTTCCTTCCGGAGTTCGTTTAGTTCACGAAAGAAAATAAAATACGAAAGAACAAAACACGTAATACATGTAAAACACTCGGGTAACATGCGAAGCGATGCAAAACATGCGACATCACTGATCCACTTGACGTAAAACGTAAACCGTTTATGTTTGATGGGTGTGGTCTTTACAACAGATTTTGTCCATGTTTGACAGTTACAGACTTATTTTTGACAGAAGCCAGACATTATCTTGACGAATTGACAGAGTTAATTTTTCTCCACTCACCGTGTAATATAAGTAGAGCTGAATTTGGTGCATATGAATTTATTGGAGTGCGTTTTGTTAGTGCGGTGCAATTTCAACTTCCAGAACGACGAACGACGATCGTCGTCGACGGGGCGCACACACGTGGGTTAATGACCTACTCAACAGACGCCTGCTTGGGATAGGACAGCCGAATACCGAACGTCAGGACGCGAAAAAACACGCGCACGCAATAAACTCTACGGAACACATAATTTAACATATATTAACATAACCAAACTTATCACATCATTACTCTGATGTAATCTAATCGATTAGATATGTTCTGTTAGCATAAAACTTAATACTGATAGATTTAGTGGTTGAAATGTTGTTGGGGTAGGTTCGTAGCGTCTGCATTCCCTAAAGGGGTTGACGAGTTGAAAGTTTTACACTAACACACAGCGAACGTGTGCTTACAATGTGATGTGGGAAAACAGCACACACAGGTAATATGCATGTAAGGAAAAAGAGGGTGAACGAACCCGATGCCATCCCCGAAACGCACTCGCGAGGTCAATACCCCCCTTCAGCACGCGGCTCCCCAAACGCAAACAAACACCGCGGCGCAGTTTTCAGACGCGTCGGAAAGTGTGTAACGCGAGACGCGCCACTGGCCACCCTTTTTTTTTGCTAAAATAAACGTAAAAACTACAAAAAATACAAAAAATACGAATTTAAACTTGTTTATTTTAAGTTTTGAATTGAAGTTATGTAAAGTTGGAGGTAATTTGTCAAATGGAAACCATCACACATCATGATTGTATAAAATGCAGCTCGTTTTCATTAATCGCCGAATGTCCGAACGTATTTACATCTAATAAATGAGCGCAAATTGAGTTTGCTGCGCGATTCATTTTCGTGCGCTAATTTCATTCAAGCGATGTTTGAGTGCCGAATAATAGCGTATAATAGAGATAATGCCGCGAGTGTGTATACTGTACAATAATATTAATGATAATTAGTGTATTAATAATATTTTAGTCAATCTAATTACCGTTGTTAATAGTTGTTGCGATTATTTCAATTTATAACAAAATATTGATATTACCGGAAAATGGATAATAACAAAACCTGATTTTTGGTTTAAAGCTTTAAATAGAGGTTATTAATTTGGTTTTTTGTTCTTTTGGTTTTCAGCCTGCGTTTTTGTTTACTTTTTAATGAAAACATATTTATGTGCGCATAACACTCAACAAATTCAACGTAATTCGTGCAGTTTGCATTCGACTTGCATTTCAGTTGCACAACTTCTTTTGATCTTCGACGCGACGCGTGCACACGCGCGCGCCCTTAATAATGTTACAAAAGATATTGTGTTTCCCGGCGCTGATTCGGTTTATACGCTATTGTTTGGACCGAAATTACGTAAACAAAGTTTTCGCACCCGCGTCCTTGCTCACGCGTGCACACGATTTGCGTAACTTGCATTGGATAGCATGCAGCCAATCCTTAGTCACTTCCGAGATAGAGTGAGCTGGAATAAAGGATGTATACGTAATCGTAGTGTAATCGGGCGCGGAGGGTGCCCGGGATGCGGGTGCAAGTTCTTGAAGCATAATGCAAACAAGTCGGAAAGTTGTAGCAAATTATTATTAATGCGCAAATAACAGCCAATTGCAATTCGAGTCGTTGCACAAAGGAATTTCACGTAAACAACACAAAAAAATTACGTAAGAATATAATATTTTCTTTGCCTGTGCATTAGTTTTATTGTTTTGGTAGTTAATTTCATTAGTCATTAATTGTTCACGAATGACAAATGACAATTACATTCGTTTAGAAGTTTGCGCTGCACCTGCTCTTAAATTTCACGCGCGTGCGACAAAAAACAGAAAAACAACGAAAATGAATTAAATTTTGCTCGCAATTGCAAAATGTAAGGGCGACTGTAATTACAATTACAATTACATCGTCACGAAATGACGATACAATTATACAACGACGTAACGAATTGGTAAAATTCACCTGCATCATTTAAAATAAGATAATTAAATTACAAAAAAAAGTTTTATACAAAAAAAATTGAATTTGAATTTACTCGCACATATTAAAATTTTATATGATTGCTATGCTCTTTTATAACTCTCCTCTACTTGAACTGTAAATATTTGTTTGCTCTCTGTTGATCCTGATTCCAATCCTGATCCTGATCGCTATCACAGTTTCCATTTTTGCTTCAAAAACATTTTGTTTTCCCAGCGCTACACTGAACCTACCTACAACCTTGTGCGCAATGCTAAAAACTCCTTTATACCCGTTTGTGCTTGCTTCACCCTGTTCACATCCTGTGCACACCCCGCGTGCAACCCGCTCACCCATTTTGCCAGTTTTACCCGATTTACTCGTTTTTGCCAGTTTCAGTTTTTACCTACATTCGCCGTGGATAGATTCATCCACTGCGCAAACCCAACTCGCACCCTCTTCACCCTTCGCTGTGCACACCGCGGCAGGTTGCGTATATAAATATTTTCCCTTGCGGAAATAGACGATGGCTATGATGCTTCTACCTCTACCACGGCGGTGCTCGTTTGCTTTGCTCTCGTTGCGCTTTTCATGCGTGCATCAAGTGCACGCCATTGCGTAACGCACATTGTGAGCGCCGGCTATATTTAGAGATGTGTAGATTTAAGGGTGGGTTTTGATACGCAGTGATATACACGGCCGCAGGGAATCCACGCGACGTATGCAACCCAACTTACAAACACGCACACGCAAAACGCACGCAGAAAGCATGAACTAAAAACAAAAACTAAACCAAACCTAACCAAACTAAAATGGCGCATACACACAAACACACGGTTGGTAATGCAAAGGATGAAATAAGAGGGGCGGTACGAGTATGTATATCGATGCGTTTGATGTAGAAAAAAAAAACTGAGAGAAGAATATATATAAAAAATGAAAAATGTGCATATAGTGCACGATACTCGTGATTATGATGATTATTCCGCTGATCAAAAGCGCACGACGTCCAACGAATGACTGATCTTCATAACCTACATTTTATATCAAACACAAACCCACTCGCAAATAAACAAACCAAACAAAAACATAAAAGGTTGCATTTTATTCTAAAAATTCTCTTATTTTTTATTCCTAGCTATAAGTATTTATATTATCTACTTATAATTATTATTTAAAGCAGTATTTCTTTATTTGCTGTTTTATTTTTTAATTTAAACTAAGTTCATACACGTGTAGATGTATAATTTTTTATTTGTTGAAGAGGTAGGGGATGCATTCGACCATCAAATGCACCCTCGGTTGTTGAAGCATCTGAA